CAGTCTGAGGAACCTCAAGGACATCTAGAACCACTGTTTGAAGTGATAAAAAACCCGAACTGAAGCTGAATTAAGGTAATTATGGACCTCAAAACCCAACTTTTGACCCCAAAACCCCCAAATTCCAACCTAAACTCTCCATATATGGCCGAAAACTCCAACATTGGTCTGAGGAACCTCAAGAAGATCTAAAATCTCCATTTTAAGTCATAAAAAACCCAAACCAAGACTGAATCAAGATAATTATGGACCTCAAGAACCCAATTTTGGGTCAAAATCCCTAAATTTTGGTCAAAAGCTCCAACCACAGTCTGAGGAACCTCAAGAAGATCTCAAATCTCCATTTTAAGTCATAAAAAACCCAAACCAAGACCGAATCAAGATAATTATGGACCTCAAAACCCAACCTTTGACCCCCAAACATGGCCAAAAGCTCCAATCATGGTCTGAGGAACCTCAAGAAGATCTCAAATCTCCATTTTAAGTCATAAAAAACCCAAACCAACACCGAACCCAGATAATTATGGACCTCAAAACCCAACTTTTGACCCCAAACCCCAACTTTTGGACCCCCGAAACCCCAACCCGCACCCCTGCGCTTCCGCCTCACCCAGCAGCGGCTGCCTCTCGCCCACGCGCAGCTGGTGGTGGAACTGCTTGCTGATCATGCGGCGGCGGGCGTCGAACTCGTGCGCCGCCATGTAGGGGATCTCCAGCAGCATGGCGGCCACCAGGTAGACGCACTCGAGGAGCTCCAGGTTGACGTGCATGTGGAAGGGCACCTGGCGCCGCTTCTCCACCTTCTCCTGCTCGGCGTTGCGCTCCTGGAGGCTGCGCAGGAGAAGACCCTGGCCCAGGAGCTCCTTGGCGCGCCCGGAGCTCTGGATGTCCAGCAGGGCGTTGTGGGCGTCCTTGATCAGGCCCTGCCGGAAGGCGCAGATGCCCAGCTGGACCATGGTGCGGTTGTAGAGGATCTGCGGGGGGGAGACAACGAAATTTGGGGGGTTTGGGGCAATTTTGGGGGGTTTTTGGGGAATTTTGGGTGATTTTTGGGCGATTTTAGGGGGTTTTTATAGGGATTTTTTTGGGTGGATTTAGGGTGAAAAATGAGGATTTGAGGTGCCCAGGTGAGCCTCAGGTGAGTCAGATGAGTCCCACCAACACAGGTGAAAAATTTTGGGGTGAATTTGGGGGATTTTGGGCAATTTTGGGTGATTTTTAGGGGATTTTAGAGGGATTTTTGGAGGATTTTTGGGGTGTTTTTTGGGTGGATTTATGGTGAAAAATGAGGATTTGGGGTGCCCAGGTGAGCCTCAGGTGAATCAGCTGAGTCCCACCAACGCAGGTGAAAAATTTTGGGG